TATAACTTAAATAACTACATCATCTTTTCAAAGAGTATGTTATGTATGTATCAATTTTTAGGAGAAAAATTTTATTTACTTAAGATATATATATAATTTTATAAAAATTAAATTAAGTTGATCTTTTCTTAAACATTTATGAGTACTGTCACTTTTAAGAGTAATCATGTATATGTCTTTCATACTATTTCTTTGATATGTTATTTTTAAACAGGTAATTGCAGACCTCAAACCTGTTGTCTGCTGCTACCAGTTTTTAAAATAAAGGCTAAATTTGATAAATTATAGGCTGAAATTGACAGAAATGCAAGCTATTTTTAGTGAAAAAAATGAGGAAGTGCTATATGGTAATCAGTTATGTTCAATAGTACAATATGTTTCAAACACAGTTGTTTCCCATGTTCTACCTAACAATTGAAGATAATCTGTCTTACCTTGTAACAGAGAATATTTATTTCAGAACTCAGTTTTTGAGCTCCCATACATGATGTCTCTGATGCAGCCACTTATGGATTCTTCTATCAGCTCCCTAAAAGACTTAATAAGGGACAGACAAATGAACAGTAGATTTATACATAATTACCTGTACATATTCTAAGGTCTTGCTTCCACACAAGTGTCTGCTCCAGAGCTCATGTATGACAGCTACAACTAAGAAATGAATTTTAAATTTTATATGAACAGCAAATTTCTGTAAATATAATTTTTTTTTACATGCTGAAGCATTAACAAACACTGTTATAGGTTATTAGAGGATCTTTGAGTAATTATACAAGTTTCAAAGGTTTAGCTTCTGAAAGACAGGTTTAGTTTGCTGAGGAGGCTTGTAACTGATTAGTTTGCTGCAGTCAAAATAAAGGACTATAAAATAAAATCTAAAAAAATTACTTACTTTCACCTTCACTGCTATCATCTACCACATTGTCTTTACTTTTCATAAAAGGAAATTTCCTTGAAAAAGAAAAGTTTTTCTTTTTCCTGTCCAAACTCATCTGTAAGAAATAAAGTGAAATTACTTGTTTAAAAACAATGCATTAGAGAATCAGTTTTTTTTTTATATACTATAGAACAACTATTCATAAACTTTGACAAATGTTTATTAAGTTTAAGACATACTGTTTAGAAGATCTTCACAAATTACCGAGCTTCATGTATTACATAAAACTCCTTACACTGTATTCTGAATATATCTTTTATTGGCTCATGATTCTATAAAATTTTAAACTTACATTATGTGTAATCACAATCCAATTCATTTCTTTCCACTTCTATAATGCATCTTTAGACATTTGTTTTAAAATTACTTATCATTTACTTGTTAAAATTATTCAATGTCTTGCTTATATTGAATATTTAAAAAAAAAAGACAGGTTTTTACCTTTCCATCATTGTACTGGCATTTTCCTTGAAATTTAACTGATTTTAATCTTGCTCTTTCTCTCCTTTCAACCCTTACAAAATAGTGCAAGAAGAATCGTTAACTCTAGCAGTCTTTTAAAAAACTTGATATTTTGCAGTAAGTATAAATTAAAGCTAAAGATCTTAATGATTACTACTTTCATAAAACAATTAAGTTTTAAAACTAATGCAATATGAAATCTACAGGTTTCCAATTATTATCTTGACAATTAAACAAACAGGTAAAATTAAAGTTTAGCTTTACTATACATTCTTAATTCTCAATAGCAATTGATTTAGTAGTTTGTAGGAACCATTACCCCCCCCCATACATACATACATTCATACATATATTTCTGTCATGTCTTTAATTAACAATCATTATTGGAGAATATATTTCACAATTGAAACTTTGATTAAACCATACACACGAAAAAAGGTTATATAAATGTACTGTAGCAGTATAAAATAATAAGTTTATACATAGAGGTAGCACAACAGTAGAACTAAACTTCATAAATTAGCTCAAGTGCAGATGCTTGTTAGCTTTTTTCTTATGTGAAAATAAAAGTGATCTTAAAACAATTACGAGATAAGAAATACATATGTAAAGTAGCATAAGATGAAGACAGACCTAACTTTCTGTCAAAGCATGTCATATTTTTACTAAGTTATCATGCAATTTTAATCATTGTTTTCAGCATTTTACTAAGAAATAAGAAAGTGACATATTACACTCAGATGGTGATTACACTTTTAACAACTCTACTAAAATAATATCATTATACAAGCTTACTCTTTCTTTGTCTTCAGTATGCTTAGGTTTTATCTACTTTGCACAAGAAAAACTACTTATGATTTAAAATTCTGTTTTCCAGTAATTGACTTTCTTGTGGGTTTTACATTTCTTATCACTATCAACAGCTTTTCAAAGTTCAAAATGTTTTATCTTTTTAAGAAAATTAACACATAACTATATCTTGCCTGTTTTTACTAGGAATAATGCCAATGCCATCTTCTTCACCATCAGGATGTACAATGCGTGCTTGCCACCATTCATCATCACTGGCATTTATGACATGAATAATATCACCAAACAAAAAAGCTAAACCTCGGCTGGGCAAGCCACTATCTCGAGAAGGTTCATAGTCAAACAAGGCTCTAGGGAATGAGAAAACATCAGGTTACTTCAGCATGGTGGTTCTTACAAAGTATTGAAAGTAAGAAAAACATGTTAGTTACAAGAGTCAATGTCTAAAAATTATACAAATGTGTGTGTAAAATAAGCAGACAATGGGATCTTTTATTAACTCTCAAATTATCAACTTGTTTCTATATTACTTACTAACAGTAAGGTCCACATATTGCATTATATTGAGTGTTTTTTTTTGTTTAACTATGATACAACACATTGTGAAGAACTATGTAAAATACTTTGTGGACCACAACAGTAATTAGTGGGATTAATTGCAATAATGATGGTATTTCTGTTTAAATTTCTTGTGCGATTCCTATGTTATTAGGGGCTATGTAATCAATACAGTCATAGACCCAAAAGCAATTTAGTGCCTATAAAAGTTTAGAAAAACATATTTTAATATCCAAAATGGTCCATATGAAACCCATCACTAATTCTAGGTTTAAGTAAAAAACACCAAGGCAGAAAGTACAAAAGAAGAAATTTTTATAGGTATACAGCCATAATAATAAACAATATCTGAAATAATAAAATCTATATATATCTCCATAAATAAAAGATAGAATTTACAGCTTAAATGTAAACCAATGTTAACAATAAAAAAAAGGTTATTGTTATTTTATAGTCACCATCAATATAGTTAATAAATATTTACAATAACAACTTGAATAAATTGTTTTCAGGCTGTATCCAAAAATACTTTAACCTAATTTTTTTATATTTTACTTCACAGAAATTACATACTTTTTCATACTTCAGAAACTTGCCAAAAGTTATAAATATAAAGCTCATCTTTTCCTATCAGTGTCAATACAAGGTTTTTTTGAGTGCTCACCAAGAAACAATTAAGATGTTTAATAGCTGCAGGTTTATAGTTAAGGTATCTGAAACTACACTCGGAAAGTCAAAAATTGAAGAAAATAAACTACACTTTCCTCTTGAGTTTTCATTTGCTAAAATATATATATATACATAATTGTAATCATCTAACCACATTTAAGAACATGAAGTAAATTTTCAGCAAATATATTATCATATTAGCCTATTAACACATTATCATGGGCTTATATTAACACTTATTGACACATTACTATGGGCTTATATTAACATCTTTCAACACATCATTCTGGGAACTTCTAGTTACACCTATCAACACATCAACATGGAGCTTATATTAGTACCTATAAACACATCACCAGAGTTTACAGCACTAGTTATACACAGAATTTTTAATTTGATTTAAAGTTCTTTGTTTCTATGTCCCATTGATCTTTCTTCTACAATGAAGAATGATCATTTTTCATAAAAGTGTAGTTTTAATCTAAATGTCTTAAGCATTTTTATTTTTAGCAAATAGTTTTCACCACAAGTCATGAAATTTTCAAAAATGTATTATTGGTAAGTATAAGTATAGAATTTGTATTATAAATATGATAATTATTCATTTTAAATAATTTTATCATTATTCTTTTTAAAATGATAATCAAGATTTGAAGTGACAATAACTGTCATAATAATTGTTTGAAAGGCACTGATAACAGAGATCATATAGTTGAAAATTGTTTAAATTGAAAACTTGCCATAATATTTACATAATGCAAATCAAGTTAATTAAACCTTCACATTAGTTCTCAACTTTCTGTTTTACCTCCACAGTCTAAATATTTCACAAGATTGGTATGCTATTTTATTATTTATTCACATTGAGCATTCAGTGAATAATGTACAAACAAATTTCCAACAGCCCAATAACAAAGATTATTTATTGTTCACTTATACTCTTTTTAAAAATCAACTTTTTAATGCAAAAATTTTGAACATTTTCTAAGTAGAGAAACATGATAGGCCTGCATTATCAATGCCAATTAATGCCAGGAGCATATCCATGATTTTCCAAAGGGGATTGCTCACTTTTTAAAATGTTTTATAAACACAAACAAATTAGCATAACATTTTTTCAGTGCATAGACTGAGACCCTCCATATTATTGCACCACACAGTGGATAAAGTGGGGTACCTTATAATATTGGTATCACAAATATAAACACACAGAGAAATTAATCAACATGCCTGATCTCAGTACATAGAACTACATCATCGTGCCAGAGTATACTGTATTAGTCATACAGAAATAACCAGTCACCAGAAAATAACCATTACTTATTTTTCTACATCTCTGATGATGGGGGAGCACATGCTCACCATGTTCTATAGTGGATACACCACTGAACAAAATTTATAAAAAAGCTTTATGACCAGCAATACTCTTGCTTAAAACAAATTCTAATATTAACTTCTTAACATTGCCACTTTCTGTTTAATAAAGTGAAAGTATAAGTAATTCCTTGTGTTGATAAATGAAGAGCTGCTTTATCACACTAACATTCAATTTCACTGAAAACAAGCTGATATTACAACATAATCCTCATTTTTATAGCAACAATTTGTTAAATTCATTGAAATTGTAATAAGTCCACCTACATGAACCACAAGCTGTCATAATTAGTTCTAGAAAGTTTTGCAGGTTTGGGTATCATCAAATACCCCTAACCAATTGTCATCACTTCTAAAAATGGTTATTAATTTTCACAGATGTTATCATGTAATTCATGATATTAGGTGACTTCCGTGATGTAAAAGTTTTTCATATATCGCTCACTAGTTTTATTTTTGTTAAGCACCAAGCTCCACCATAGGGATTGTACCCTGAATCTAACTATTATAATAAATCAAGCTTACCACTGAGTTACTTGGGAACACACTTATTAGAAGCACCAAAAAAAACTTTTTATGCCTAATTATTCTTCTCACTATCTGGGAATGTCACCCAAACTTACAAAATGCATTTACATCACACTTGCTTTCAAACAACTCTGTTTATGTAACTGTACATGCTTAATAAAAAAATTCCTTATTGATCAACTATATATTCTATAACAGCATTTGTCCTCAAAGAAATATTTATGTGGGACTAACATTTGGACTCTAAGGACATTTGAAACAGAGTATAGCAAGTCATTATTATCTTTCTCAGTGAGACACAATAAACCAGTGCTAATTTATGAACCTGGAAGAGAAATAAACTCTGAAGATTCACCAGTTACTTCAATTTTACATTAACCAATCCAATGTACCAGTAAAGTATTAATATTATGTTCTTGTTACATATGTCAGAAGATCTGAAACCAACTTACCTAACATATAACGAGCGTTTCTGAGATGTCCGTAAGCTGCCTGTCGTTGTGTTTAACATCTGTTCTCTAAGGTCATGTATTTTAGCTTCAAAGCTATTATATTCTGAAAATATAAACCATCAGCTGAATAACCATTTATGAAGTTATTCAAAATACTGACCACACAATGTTTTAAAGTGCTCATATCATGTTGCTTAATTTTTTAAAAAAACAAACAGGATTACTAACTGAAGAAAACACAATAAAAATACACAGTGTGCTAAAAATCTAAAGAACCATGCAGCCACATCTTGTTCTTTACTAGACAGTATTGTTCATACTCACAGAGTGAGTCTATACAGACTAAGATGTAAAAGTAATGTATTGAAAATCTAAACAACCAAGCAGTCATAACCAGTCCTCTAATTGAGAGGATCATTCATACCCACAAAGTAAGGCTATACAAATTAAGATGTTAAAACTTCAATGCTCATTTACGACATATCCTAGAAACAAATTCTAATAACAAAAGAAAACATCTCAATATTGAGCTATTAAAACGAATATAAAGATACAATTTTAATATCCTTATTAAGACCACATACATTAGATAACATATATAACAACTCATCTCGGTGACAAATGTTTATGTGTCATGTCACATACTTATTGTTATTAACTGTCCTGATGAATAATAACAATGTCAAGTAACATATACGCTGACACTTATCATTCTTGTGATTAACATCAATACACTATTGTCAATCGATCTAGTGACTAATGCCATGTAAAATATATATTGTTCTCAGTCATCCTGGTGAATAATATCCATGTTTCATATTACATATCCACTGTTGTCAGACATCCTGGTGACTAATGTGCATATGTTATACAACACATGCACCTTTGTCAGTTTTCCTCATGACTAATGTGAACGTGTCATACAACATATGCACTGTTGTCAGACACCCTGATAACTACTGTCAATCCTTGTGACATGTATACTGTTTCCACTAATGTCCATGTGTCATTTAACATATATATTTTTATCATTTATCTTCATTATTAATGTCTATGTGTATATTGTTGTCTGTCATTCAGTTAACTTATGCTTATATGCTATATAATATATGCACTTTTGTCAGTCATCCTTGCGAACTTATGTCAAATAACCTGTATATAGTTATTATTATTCTGGTGATTAATGTCCATGTGTACATGGAGCTGTGTTTATATTTTTCATGTTCACACAATGCAACTTTATGAACAGGACATTTTGCTTTTCATTCCTTGGGTAAAGTCCCTACTTAATTTAGTGTTTATCATATTTTAATTGGTTACTTTTTAGAAAAAGTTTTTTTTTTATTTTCTCGTAATTTAAATTCTATCATTATTTTTAGATATTCATTTGGCAGTAGGTTTTTTTATAAATCAACTTCAGTTAACATATACAAAGTATTTTCTTTAAATCTTTCATGCCATACAAATTTAAACTTCTGTACATACAATTTTTGAAATTCCTTGTTGCAAGCTCATATGTCAGAAAATAATATAATTTATGAATGATATTTCAATGACATGATGATTTAGACTTGTAAACTTTATTCTTGAATTATATTCATTTTTCTATCATCAATCATGAAAAACTATTTTTAAATTTATTTGTGCAATATTTGAAAGAATTCAAGTACATTCAAACTATTCAAAAATACTAGATAAAATAAAAAAAGTATCAACTTTATACATAAAATAAACTAATTAAAAAAATCAGTGACTGTTTGTTTCAGGCATTCATGCAAAGTTATACAAAGTCTATCTCAGCTACTCATCCTTAATTCTTAGCTGAAAGAGTAGAAAGAAGGCAACTAGCCAATAACATTCACCACCATCTCTTGGGCTATTCTATTCAACTAGTGGGATTTGACTGTCACTCTTATAATGTAAGCATATTACCAAAAATTAGTGAAAGTCAAATATTAAACAAATGTGGTCACTAATTTGTAGGTAGTAATTTGAAAGAGCCTCTTGAAATAAAGCTTACCTTCAGGTCTGTACTGTACAACCATAGCTACATTTTGCCCTGCTCCCTTTAGTACTGTAGCAGCTTGCTCGTGAGTGGCACGTCTCAGGTCAATCCCATTAACCTAAACAAACAGAACATCAGAAAACGTTTTTAATAAAATCAAAGCATTCACTTCTCACTTACAGAAACCATGCTTATTTTTGCACTATATATCGTCAAAGAGCTATATTATCTCGCCAGCTAATTTTCTAACTATTAACCCTTATTTATTTGTATGACTTAGGCTTTTACAAAGATTCAAAGCCTTTTCTGCTTGAAAAAAAGTAAAAAAAATACTTGTAAATGGATAAAAACACTTCTTTCTTACTTCTGAGAAAGTACATGCGTTTATATACGTGTAAAAATATTAACATTAGTAGTTTCACATTTGTTTTGACTAATATTAATTAAACAAGTGTTTCATTTAGGTCCAATATTTTTTTTTAAAAAGTTTGAATTCCATGCTCAATAGCCATAAAATCAAATACTGTAAAGTCTCTCCTTTAATAACATCCCAGATAACACATGATGTTTCTACAATGTTGCTGAATAGTTGTGCATTAGTTTTTCGCATGCCACAAGCCTTGAGCTCCCACGTACCCTACATTCAACATGGTTTAACTGCATTTCACACGTAAATCATGCAACAACCCTTCACCAAAAGGATTTTACTAATGCACAACTATTCAGCAATGTTGTACAAATGTCATGTGTTAGCTGGGATGCAAGCTAATTATATCAAATATTGGAACAGTCAGTCTTGTTGATAATGAATAAGTTACTATATGCACAAATTCCTTATTTAAACACAATCAACTGCTTAATTCAAGTAATAAAGTGAAACCATCTTTATTACTGTTGTTGTTACATTCTCATTAAATTTAATTTAATAATGATTGAATGACTTCTTCACTCCCCCATTATCTGACTATTTCATTCGTATTTGAAAATGATTCACAAATCAACAAACAGCTTCAGTTTTTGATGTAATCCATTGTGGTAACATGTTTCAACACTATTCTAATTATACACATTTATTCTTTTCTGGTGTTTTCTATTTTAAGAGAAAATAAATAGAACTACAAAATTACAATGTTTATGGTCTTGGTTTTTTGAGAAAATCCCATTAATACATGTCTAATCCACCTGACTATTGTATATATACAACTGATAACACTAAGATGATAGACTAATACACTTATTACGAGTTAACAAGTTAGATTCAGGAATACTATGTTAATGCCATTATACCACTTCAGTTAGCCTGTCAGGTTTACCTTGGTAGCAAAGTTTTAATGGTTTATTATTTTTCAAAAAGCTAAACACATTATATGAAAACACTAAAATGTTTTGTCAAATTATGTACTTGATTTGATAAAACTTAAGAGTTCTTATCACAAAATAAACAGCTTGCAGACGACGTATTGTTAACTTTCTAAGAGAAGAAAAGAAAAACTTGTGTAAGATTTGAGGTGAACGTTTGAATGATTTGAGCATTTGGTATCACTGATTTTAAACAGAAGTAAAACTGTCAACACATTAGCATGAAATCTTCTGATAACATTTAATATACAAGAGACCATCCTCTCTGTTTCTGTTGCACCACACAACTTTTTATCAATATATTTTCATTTTTTCTAAAATAAATGTATTAACTTGTTTCCTGTTTATTTCTGAGCTTAATTATTTAATAAATGTAAGAGTTATGACAGAGAGAATATTTCCATCTAAAGACCAGTCTTCTGGTTTTGAGTACAAAGAATAATACTGAAACAAATATGGCCTGTAACACTAAGAAGGAGCTGTATAGGACAGTGATAATTTATGCTTGCATTATTACTTTTCAGTTCTTAACTACCTATCTAAGACTTGTTAATGTTATCAGCATTTCTATGAACAGTTCCATAATATATGAATTCTGAACAAAGCACAAAATTAAGAGATATTGAATTTTTTATTGGTAAAGTATATATATATATATATGGATTACATCTGTATGATTTTATATGAATATTTCCCTAATATGAAAATTTAATGCTAAAACACACACCCTAATGTATCTTTGATTACTTTATAATATGAAATTGCATGAATGTCACCAAGATTATAAAATTTATTTTCTCCTGTTTGAGTCTTAAAATGGTATGTACTAAAGGGCACAAAAACAATACTGAATCATATTTTGTGATGCAAAAATAGTCTTGTGCTATTCAAACACCAAATATGTCAGAGAAAACTGCCTTATGAATATTAATATTATAATTTTGGGTGTAAAAAAAAATAACCAACACCTTATTTCTAAGGCATCCATTATCATTCTCCTGGTATGTTTTTTTATTTTTACAACCATAAAAAATGTTCAGCTTTTCATTTGAAATAAATATTTTCTTTCAAACAGTCACTTTACCAATGACTCATCTACCCATAAACTGAAGAAACAGAAAAATAACTGGATGGAACAAACAGTAGCAAAGATAAAGTTATTAAACAAAAACATCAATAATTTATGCATTGAAAAGTTTTCTATATATACATAACAAAGTTAATCAACAATACTAATAATATTACACTATTAGAAGACCTGCAAAATATCTGTGGTCAAATTAGTATCTTTATTGCAACAGTACTTCTTTAAATACAGGATTTATAGAATAATACAATAGAATCTTTATCACAGACACCAAAATTTATAAGTCCAATTGTGTTAGGCCTGACAGTTAAGCCTTTATTTAGTATGGCTTATATTTGATAAAGAAATAAAGTAACACTAACTTATACACACTTTTGCTTTAGTTTAGTTAGGGCTACAAATTTACCATACTTAATACTATCAATAAATAAACTTTTAATACAGGCCTCGACAAATCCCAGGTGCCAGATCACCTTGGCAACTGAAAGTTTCATTGTGGTGCCTATTATTTCCTCCAATTTTATTTATGTGTAGGAATGTGCTGAATAGAACTTGAATCTAGAAGAGTTCTGGACTCTTGAAAGTCTGGAACTATTTTCACATTCTTTGAATCTGAAATCAAACTTTGTTTCTAGGATTTTAATGGCGGATTCAGCACTTCATGTATTTTCAGGAATGAAGTGCTGCAGTTGCACAATATGTTACTAATTTCATGCCATTTTGTTTTCCTCTTTCTCTCAATTCAACCAATCAGTGAGCATGTTTAGACTCATATGGGACCAAAGACAGCTAGTTCAGGCAATAATATCAAGTGGTTGTTGGTCTCAAGTGATTGTTAGCATGAACTCATTGCTGTGAAAGTATATAAATATAGCCCCCATTTCCCAGTAAAAACAGTAGTGAAGTTAGGTTAAGCACACCAAAAAGCCTTTGCTTATCACTGTACAGTGTTGTAGTGATGAGTAGATTAGACCTATTCTGAAACAACCTGCTTGGCCTATCAATATTGCAGTAATTATTTTTAGTTTACTTTCATTTGTTGCAAGAACAGACACAAGTTACAGTTATTTAGTCTACTATTTTAATAATTGCACATATGAAGTTTAACTTTAATATATATTATATAGTAAAGTTTAATAACAAATCCTTTGTGTTTTGATGTAAAACTGCATGTCTCATACCATAACCACACAACTGACTTGAAATATATTCCCTAACTTTTCTACATTGGCTCTGGCTCCTAAGTTTTGGGGCTGGCTCATAGATCTGAAAATAGTTGATATGCCTATTATAATATTATTCTATGATTTAACATTAGACCTTTTTAAAAACCCTGATAAACTTTTAATATTTTGTTGTACAAAATGTCTACCAAAGTATATTTACATCTGCCTTTTGTTTACATCTGTTGAAATGAAGTGCACACATACATATTTAGATAGTAAGGTGTGTGTGTGTGCATTATCAGAACAGGCAAAACTGAGTATTATTATAATAGATATTTCTTTCAGCAGTTACTTAATATTCAAACTTTTACCTTTTCAGCAACTCTGGGCTATATAAAATAAATAACATAGCTGTAGCAGAATTGTTTGTGGGAGAGGAAGAGATTTTATTTAGTGATTGATGTGGTGTGGGGCATTCCAGTGTCAAAGAAGATATTATGTTTATAAATATCACCTGATTGTATTCCCTAAGACTTTTTATAAGTATGTCTAAAATGGTAGTTTTAAGGTTACCTAAGTTTTCGTACTAAATGTTATCATCTAGAAATACAACTCACAAATCTGCATGAAAATTCTAGAAGAGAAAGACCGAGTTTTGGAGTGAGGTTCCCTCTCTGCTATAGTAAATAACAAGTATATCATGATTTTAATATCACACTAATCCACTAATGTTCAAAGTACTGATCTAAACTATTAAAAATCTGACAAAAAAACCCATGAACAATCGGTACAATAAGATAATCATAAATGCTTACAGAAATTATCTGATCTCCTCTTCTAAGCTCACCACACAGATCTGCTGCTCCTCCAGCCAAAATAAAGGAGATAAAAATTCCTTCTCCATCCTCACCACCTACAATATTGAACCCCAAACCAGACTGTCCTTTCACCAGCATCACTTTTCTGGGTTCCCTAAAGATAACATGACTGGTTGAAGTAACAACACTTAATAATAAAAACCTATAATTTACAAAGAAAGATTATTACTCTCGCATAACATAATACAAAAGCAGAAAGAACCAAATTAATAATATAAATTTCTGCATGTCATTTGCATGTATGAAATGATATGTCATCTTGATTTTATGTAACGTGTGTTTTTCTGTTAACAAGTTATTCCCTGCTGGTATTTTGAATAATATCAATAAGAAAAAGCAATACTTTTATACATTCTACTACATGACTTAGTGAATAGATACTGCTGTCAGGAAAGTACTGTTTCATTTATCTTGAAATGAAATTAACTACAGCAGGTTTTAATGGAAAGCTTAAAAACTGACACTAGCAAGAACTGAAAATAATGTTACAAACAGCTGCTGTATTGTTATACCAAAAGTATAATCTTATCAAGAATGATATAAACACAAATTCACATATAACTTTGCCAGAGAAACATTTTGGTAAAACACACTTAACTAGATTTCACAATGCAATAAAAAAATACACTAAAAATATTTAATTATAAAGCTATTTTGGTTTTAAGCAATTCAATTAGTTCCAGATCTTGCAGTATATCAGCTAGTTAGTCACAGGTGTTAAGACTGTATAACCTAATAGTAGTCAGCAACTCAAGAGAGAAAAGTAAATCATTAAAATAATCAGGTGTTTGTGTATAAATGAAATAAATATCCACACATGTAGAACCTAATCTACAGAAATGAACGAAATAAAGACATCATATTCTGAACTATTTCTACTTCAGCTGTGCAAAGCACATACCAAAAAAAGATTTTCAGCTATACCAAAATAAAGATGTGATGATATACTGTAGTAATGTAAATATAAACACTTTCACTTTCAAGTGCCCATGGACAAATATTTAGATATTCAAATCTCAAATTACCAACTTGTTTATATAATGTTCAATGCCAGTTGGGGTTCACACATCACATCATAATGAGTATTTTATGTTTCTGCCTGTAACAATACTCAATTTAAAGAAGTCACAAAAAAACTGTGTGAAATTACTCACCCAGCAGTAATCATAGAGATTAACAGCAATATTGATAATATTTGTTTTAATTTTTTTTAATGTGGGTCATAGGTTAGTAGGAACCTTGTATCCATCAACGTCATGGACCTACAAGCAATTTGGTGTATATATATATATATATATTATTTTTTTTTTTCTAGAAAAATGTGCTTAAAAAGCCTATAGCGTCCATACAGATCCCATCTCCAATTCTAGGGTTAGAAATATATTATCTCTAGGGTATATATTAATGTAATGGACCTGTTGAAAGATGCACAAACCCTTTATTTAGATTCACTGCTTATGGTATCATCTTCATTTTTATAATTTACACTAAAGGACACAAGGCACTTAGGCTTTGAGGTAAACTAAATTGTTTGAACCTAGCTATAACTGATTATGTGCTGCTCATAAAATCAAATATTTTTTGTTTTGTTGTCAGTATGACAAGTTACCTTGTTGAGTTTGATTTTAAAATAAACTTTACTGTATCTCTTTGAATGACATACATTAAAACAGTGTCACCCTTTCAAAAAACCTACTGGGGAAGGGAGCAATTTTAAGTAGGTTAACTATAAATATCCTATCACAGTTATTTAAGACTTACTCCCAGAATGAGTCTTTTTGCTGCATAGTGGGGAGCTGGTGATGAAATATGAAAATATCCAAAAGATATTCTGTACACAAAGTGTGTTAAACTTTTATTCACTTGTAGTAAAACAAATTAAGTGTAGCCCTTTACATCTATATGCCTATTCAACAAGTTTTTAAAATAACTAAAAATAACAGTATATATCCAATCAAACCAATGTATTACTTCAAAATTCTGACAGAGAAATCATTTTAATACATAGAAAGTATGGATTTAGGATTTTAAAACACATACTTAATATTATCTCTACTATTTAATCTTGTATTTTCACCAAGTTTTTGCTTTCTCCACAGGATCTCTCTTTCAAACATAGGTGTCTCACTTTATATTGCTTGTAAGTTTGTGAAACTTTTGTTTATAAATCATAGTTTGTTATAACTATCTGTAATAACTGTTATTGAAAATTGTATTGTTGTGTATATATCAAAGCGTATTGTGTTAAAAAAGAAAACTGTGTGTGTATCAATCTTGTTGGCAAACATCATAAATTGACTATATATGTATATATATATATATATATATATTGGCTTTTACTTAACTGCTAAATCCAAAATAAAATTAAACTACTAAATTTAAAGTATCATTCAGCTCAGTTTCAGACCATTTGAAATTCTAATACGTAACATAATAATATAAAAAATATTTATCACAATATCAGCCTGTTTTTGCATCTTTCCAAAATTATGATACCTTTCTGGAAAAACACAAGCCCAGAACTGCACACAGTACATTGTCATCCGGTATAAAAGCCTGATAATAACAATAGTAGAATCTTGTACATATTCATGATCCTTTAAGTTGAACTGAAGCACACTATATTATGTTGTGTATTAAACCATTGCAAAAATATTTCTCCATACTCACAAACAGTATTCCCTCTAAGCTGCACACATCCTCAGTAATGGTGAGGAATCTCAACACATTGATGGCCTTAATGATCCTGTCAGTCAATAGGCCTAAAGCCCAAATAACCAACTGGTAGCATTGCAAAGCAGTCTAATGATTTAATAAGGTTGATGGTCTAAAAATACCCCCCCCCCCCAAAAGAAAAAAAAAAATTAGCGGACATCCGCACATTGCCTTGATACTGGTGCAAATGAAAAAATTCATTCTGCACCACAAGGATTGAACAAATTAGAGGAAACATTGCTCACAAATATTGGATACATGGATACTTAAGGTAAAAATAAGGTTGAAAACATATTCTAATATTAAGTTAGCAAACTTGAAAAAGGAAAATCAAAAACATTATGAATAACCAAAGAAAAATGTAGAGGGAAAAAGTACATCTTCATAGTTTACCGACAGTATAGGTCTTCCACTGAGTCATTGTTCACCAGACTAACTTTCATAAAAAAAATTTTTTTCTCAAGCATTGGTGGATGTGGTCAATGCAAAATACTGATAGATTTATTAAGATGTTATCTGAATCTTATAGCTATGATGGTCCCCAAAGATTACTGATTTGTTCAATAGCCCATAAAAATTAACATAAATGTATGCCCATAGTTGAAAATTTCTATTCAAAAAACATTAATTATTTTATTGTTTGCTTTCTTGTACAGAAAAAGACAAATGACAGTTTTCATGATAAAACATAATACAGATATTTTTCTTTGTTTCAGATATTCACTAAAAGCAATTCAAGGGCTATCTGTGCTAGGCATCTCTGATTTTGAACTGATAAACTACATAAAAGGCATAGAAACAATATTACCAACAGCTAACTCTTGGGCTACTGTAATCAAAAAGTGTGGAAAAAGCAATGGAATAAAACCAACCCTAGATACTGGGGTCCAGGATATGGCATGATAACCAGTATGCTATGCCCTGCCCATACAATTGATAGTATATGTCATATCTATTCCCTTGTTTTCACATACATACAAACACACCAAATGCTAACATGCAACATCAGCATCTTGGAATAAACAGCTGTTTTCCAAAAACACTTGTGAATAAAATGTAAAGTTGTTTTTTGCAAGATGCTTGCAATAACCTGCATTATGAAGATCTTACAAGCTGTCTTCAGCATAAGTAGACTAGATAATGTCTAATATCAACTTAAAGATTTACTTCCTTTTTTATCAGGTTTAAACAAAGTTTTTGTATGCATATATGATGAGCAATGGTTGTTTAAAATGTCTTTGTGTTAGACCACAAAAAAAGCAATTGCTTGATGCACCATTTTAAAAAAAAATTATAAAACATAAAATAGACTTTGGCAACTTCTATATAGTTTTTCTAAGTGTTTTTGGTTTAGAATTTCGCCATTATTTGTTCACTTACAGCCAACTAATACTTATAAATTTAATTTAAATGTCTCCAAAAAGTTTATATTTCCCTTTTCCATCACATTGATCTTTTTAAATCACTAACAGAACTCTTTGAACCTAACTACAAAGCTTTGATGATGATTAAACTCAGGTTTAAAATATTTTGAATGACAATTAGACTAACTAATTAATATTCCAGTTTTAAATTCTCGAGTACTGGATGGAATATTAAGCTTAGAGTTCAATTATAAACTACTGAAAATTCCAAATAAAAACTCTTTTGTTTAACTCAAAAATTTTTGGCTACAAGATCTTCATCAGGAATTGTTCTATGCATAAAAGAATGATAGAATGTTGCTATTACAGTTTTCATTTGGGATTTTTGGTTGTTTATAATTGAAATATAGCTAATCATAGTTTTTAAATAAGATACAACTACTGTTAATCGTATGCCTACTTATTTGAAAAATATTTGAATATTGTGGCTATGTTCAATCATTTTACTCATAATAGAGTTGTGTATCAACCAACAATTTATAATATGTTCAATCTAATAAAGATATTTCAGGACTTAATTAAATAACAGCAATAGTAATATTATTGTAAGTATACAAGTAAAATTACGAACTGGGTAACAACATGTTAATTTGCTAACAGACGACTCTTCGGCTACTTAAATTTCATTAAAAATACCAAATAATACGTTTATATTATCCTTTATTACTACGTTGAAAATTATTTTATATAACTAATAGTTGTACTACTCTTGGCAGTTCACACATATTATTAGATTAGACATACATATGATTATTTATTTATTTGAAGTTAAGCACAAAGCTACACAATGGGCTTTTTGTGCTCTGCCCACCACGGGTATCGAAACCCGGATTCTAGCGTTGTAAGTCCGCAGACATACCGTTGTGCCACTGGGGGGCTCATATGATTAACAACTATGATTTCGGCTAACTGATCTACAAGCCATAGTCATAAGAAAGTCGCAGAAAAACATTCG